ACTGAGGAAAAACAGATGCCTCAGCCCACCTGCGGCGAGCACTAGTAGAATATGAAGCCTTTGTCTCCGCTGTGCTGCCCCATTCATCGAGTAAGCTAAGACCAGCCAATGCCTGCTCTAATGAGGTGGTTTCGAGGTCAATGGACGAGATGAGATCCTTCTCGGCCTGGGATTTTGAATCTGGTTTAAGCATTTGGCGGACTGTTAGTGCTGCCTGGACATGAGGGGCGCTCTTTGCGTGCGCAGATAGGAACTCTTCATTCCACTTGGTTAGATCAGTAGATCTAGGTAGCAGGAGGTCGAATTCAGCGTTGATAAGTTCGATGATGTCTGGTGGAGTGAGCTCCCCTGCAGCACCGGCGTCGAACTGTTGGCGGAATTTGACTAATTGAACATGTAGAGTTGGGTTGCTTGGGTCAATGGCATGAGCAGCGAGCAGGCATTTGATTGCCAGTAGGTATTTCTCTGTTAATGTCCAGTTAGTAAGATGGTTATGTCACGAAAGTCAAGGTAAATGCTTACTTCTTCGAATATACACCTCAAAGCCAATGGTCTGGGCGTCGATGTTACCTGGGCAGGCCTCGAGCAAGGGTCCCAAGAATTTCATCGCTTCCTTCAGTGGATCAGAAGTATGGACCAGGTTCAAGCCCAGAGGATCGGTGTCTTCCTTCTTTGCGTCACCGCCGCCGCCCGTTCCTGAAGCTTTCTTGAGTCTCTGCTTTTCAGCCTCAGCCTCCTTTAGCCGCTGCTGCTCCTTCTTAGCTTTCTTCACGGCCTTCTTGCGCTCTACACTGTCCGCGCCGCCATCAGCTCCGTTAATTGGAATTGGTCCGTGGGCAAGATCCGGCTCATCGTGTAACAGTAGGTAGGATTTTATTCCTCCAATAGCAGCCCTGATATAGTATGGATGATCTCGCAATTGGTTCTCCCATCGAATCATATCGATATATGCCCGAATCATGCCCTTGCGTAATGAGAAGTTGTGGAAATCAAATTGGTCTTCGTGCCATATATCGAAGATATTGCTAATGGCATGGAAACGTTTCAGGGCAAGACCTAGCTTTCGTTGGCGCAAGTATGACTCTCCATCCTCGGTCAAAAACCAGACACATTGCATCTCATGCAAGTCACCAAGTGCACCTCCAACCGTTTCGTTTCGAGTGAATTTACTCATATTGTCAAGACCCTTTTCGTTCTCGTCATGGCGAAGCTGATACTTGACTGCCTTTGAGTTGATGTATCGGTCCTTGTCATCAAGTAATCGAGCAGCTTCCATGATTTCTGCGGCTTTGGTGAGGTTCCCATAGTGTTTCCATATTCTGGCCTTGGTCATCCAGTATTCCACGGACTTGGGCGAGAGTTCAATGGCTTTCTCCACGTATGACATTGCCTTTTCGAGATCACGGCTAAGATGGTAGTTGTAATGTTGAGCGAGGAAGTAGAGGACTGATTCCTTGAACCGAGAGTCATCGCCGTTTGCTTCAGATCCGTTAGATTGGTCATCGATCTTTCCGGCAGCGTAGCCTTCTACTAGCTCCTGCACGACAGCTAGTTTGGCAGGGTTGGCGTAAAGTGTCTTAATGTTTGCAAATGTAGATGGTATACCCTTGCGTAGCATCCGCTGAAGATATGCATCAACAGCCTCTTTGAAGTCATCTCCTTCGAGGAATTCCAGAGGAATGCGTCGAGGTGCGTCACCGCGCGGGTTTTTCTCAACCCAATAATCATAAACAGCTTTCAATGCTTTGTGATCCTTCTTGGATATTCCCTTCGCCTCAATCAGACGGTCATAGTACTGCGAGTTTTCCGGGTTCCTCTCTAGTAGAGCTTCATAGGCAGTAGCAGCTTCTGCAGTTCGGCCAAGTCGTTGAAGGTAGTCCGCGCGCATTTCCATAACAGCAAGTATATCAAAGCACTGCTTGCCCACAGACTCAAGATGCTTAAGAGCCCTTTCTAAGTTGCCTGATTCCGCAATAATCATATTCTTATATAAAATAGCTTCGGAGTGCTCCATATCCGTTCGTGGAGGTGGCGTCTTTAGAGTCTCTTCAAAAGTCGTAAGCACGTTTTCTGCCTCCGAAAGGTTGCCAGCAAGGTGGTAAGCAATTGCAAGCGCAGTCCAGTTCTGACGGACACCGGGTCGTTGCTGAAGCATCGTAGCTCTGCTCTGGATGTATCCTTGGAAATCTCGAATCTGAGCTTGTAGGTAGGCCAGGTCTCTTTGTATGGGTTGGGACTCGGGCTCGAGCTTCAAGGCAAACCTGTAAGCCTTAATAGCTTCATCGTAGTTCTTCTCGGCACGGTAGAGCAGGCCGTAGACGTGCCAGCAGATATGCGACTTCATATCATTCTTGAGAGCCATCTTAGCCAGTGCAAATGCTTCCTCTGCTTGACCTTGATAGCTCAGCATGAGGCCCTTCATCGCCTGTGTGTCGCCATGGTTGGGGTTCTTTTTAAGAATCTGCTCCGCCGCCTTGAGTCCTAGATGCCCAAATAGGACTTGTCAGAGCCACAGATAACAGAACAATAAGGGGAAGGTTCAATAGCATTTCCGTCCTGAATAGCAGGCAAGCCCGCACCTTTTTTATATTGTTTATTCTCGCAATTCCGGACTACTTGGCGGAACAATGCGCCGTCCTTGGAGCTCAATGGCTGAGGCATGATGGACGCCCTATTCTACAGTTCGGGGCGCCCTGCCTGGTCTATCACACAGAGGAAAATAGGATATCTCGATCAATCAAGGGCCAACAGGAGGTTCGTGAATTTGGTGGTGGGCTGGCTAGGTGACTGGCGGGACAGACACCAAGTATGAACGAACAATAGGCAAGGGACCCTTCAACCCGGCACCGGCACTAGGGACAATAGTAAATGAAAACCCTGTTGGTCGCAGCAAAGGACCCCTTCGTATCTTCGTCGACGGCCGTCCGTAACTCGTCACCAATTCGCTGTTCGTTGGGTTCAATTCCGTATCTTATTTCTATCTTCAACTTGTTTGTGCAAGTCGAAAAAAAGAAAGTAAAAAAGAAAAAAAAATGCTTAGTTATCCGGGAAGGGTCATGTGACCCAGTTTTCCCCCCAAGGCTGGCGTTTCTTTCAAAGCAAAGATATCAATAGAGACAAGCAAGAACAATAAGACGAGGCGGGTTGAAGAATAGGATGCTAGCGTAGAGGTTGATAAGAAGTCTATAGCTTCGTTTGAGGCTTCGTATTCAGGTTGAATGGGGTATTCGAGAGTATATATACATGAGTCGCTTCAATATCGTACAGGCACGCCTTTTTATGCAAATGATAATAGTTAACCAGACAAGTATTAGTTTTCTCCAGCATCCTGCACTTAGATCAGATAAAGTCTCTAGCCGGTACGCCGTTTGGAAATTATACAGTGTTTTTTTTTTTAAAGCTCCACTCAAGGCGTAATGCAGGCCGTCAATGGTTCAAGAGCAGATAAAAGCAGGCGAGTGATGGCAAAGTCCAGGGTCAGCGAGACTGCTCACGCGTTGCCCGCCAGTGGTTGAGAGCATCCTCCCAGCTCTCGAACGAGTTCCCGCAGCGTTCTCCGACTATATCCCAAGAACGAGATCTCACGATCCTCTCCACACCACGCTCGTTCCGTATTAGCATGGCAAGAGACTCTGTCCGCGGCTCTCTGGGGAAGAACCTGGCAGAGTAAGGGTCCAATCGCTCGTCAACCACTCTCTCCCGAGCTCTCGCTGATTCTTCCTGTCGGAGCAGCAGGTCCGGGTCGTCAGGGTCAGGGCTCGTGGCAACTCCGGCGCAGTATGTCAAAACGTCCGATCTAGCTTGCCAGGAGGGAAACAGGACTTCTCTTTGAAAGTCTGACATCTGCCTCCTTCGACCTGGCCGTGACGAGGTAGTTCTGTCTGTCTGGCGGTGGTTGAGGACGGGTCAAAGCCCTGCCGGGAGGGAGTCACCAGTGCATTCAAACTCTGCGATATCGAGTCGTCTACCGTCGACCGAGATATTCGAAGGAAGTCTATCCGTACATCATCAGCATGGCTCTTCTCTTACGTCAGAAGTGACAAAGGTGATGTGTCTCTCACCTCTCAATGCCCGTTCATTGAAACAAAACTGTGGTGATAGCTTCGGCTGTGTCGAGGTCTTTGACATCTTGCTTTCACCCGGTCCAGAGCCAACCGACGTCCCGGTTGACTGTCGAGCCCAGAGCAAATCCAGCCTGCTTAACTGTCGGGTAAGTAATTTAAAAGTAGATATCCAAGATCTAGAGCTCTATGGCTTGCAGGTCCCTTCAGCTCTCGGTTTGTAATTGTTCTCTTCTTGCTGGTTGATGGACTGAGATATCGGATCAAAAAGCGTCACATGACTCGCGGCTCTTTTTCAGCCCTTTTTTTCAGCTTTTCAACGTCGAGACGAGGACGAGTGGAAAGACGAGCAAACTAATATTGATATCTGGCGCAGCTTTTGGCCTGCTTGAATTCTTCTTCGGCCTTCCTGCTACGCAACCCTCGGTTCTTCCAGAGTCATGTTCAAGGACAGACCCTAGACGGGCGGGCGCCAAGGTGGCAGGGAATCGAGCTCGCTGGTTGGTGATATCCACGCGAAGGAAACACGAAGCTAGCTACGAGGCGCTCAAAGACCGTCCTCTTCCTTTTTGTATTTACTACGTTCTTTGATATGAAATGAATTGAGTATCTCGTCTAGAGAAGTCTTAAATTGGTCATTTATTGGTATTTTCGTTTATTGCTTGGTATGAGTATTCCGCTACTGTATTAATCTCCGGCGACAACCCTTGAACTGCACCGCTCATCTCTCACCAGGAACACCAGTCGAGTTCTCAATCACAACGAAAGTGTACCTCCAGCTGCTCCTTTTGCGATATAACGGCCCGTTAGAGTAACGACCATTTACTCGAAGGCGCAGCCAAGTCAACCAATTCATACAGCTTCAGCTTCCATTCAAAATTCTGTGCATTAGAGCTTTTCTTGTCGTCACCAAGAGCTCAACTCATCAACCCAGCAACAATGCCTGAGCTTGCAGAAGTTGCACGGATAGTGAACTATATCAAAAAGCATCTGGTAGGACACACAATTGCCAAAGTTGTAGCCAACCATGACGACCTTCTGTTCGGCAAGGTTGGCACCAGTGCCGACGAGTTCAAGAAACATATGCATGGGAAAACCGTCATAGGAGCTGGGCAGCAGGGCAAATATTTCTGGATGATCATGTCTTCGCCTCCGCACCCTGTCATGCATTTTGGAATGACGGGTTGGCTGAAGATAAGGAGTGAAAACACTTACTACCGCAGCAACGGTAAAGACGAGAACTTTGAGGCAGACGTTTGGCCTCCAAAGTTTTGGAAGTTCTTGCTTGAGACGGATAACGAGCCTAAGACTGAGGCTGCGTTTGTGGATGCAAGGAGATTGGGCCGTGTTAGGCTTGTAGATTGCCCCGGGGACGAGATACGGAAGTATACGCCTCTAAAGGAGAATGGGCCTGATCCGGTCATTGACAAGGCCATCTTGACGGAAGACTGGTTGAAGGCTCTAGTGCGGCGGAAGAAGGTTCCTATAAAGGCTCTGTTGTTGGATCAGGCCAATATTAGTGGACTGGGGAATTGGATGGGGTATGTCTTACATCTTTTCTTTTAATATATTTTCCAACTACAAAAGAGGCTAACGCTGGAAGCAGAGATGAGATCTTATATCATGCCCGGATTCATCCTGAGCAATACAGTGATACACTCCGGGACAGTCAGATCAAGGAGTTACACTCATCTATCAACTACGTGTGTTCTGTATCTGTTGATCTGAAAGGAGAATCTTCTGACTTCCCTACGGACTGGCTATTCCATCATCGATGGAATAAGGGAAAGAAAGGTGCAGCGGGCAAACTTCCCAGTGGCGAGCCCATTGTCTTCGTCACCGTTGGTGGCCGAACAAGTGCTGTTGTCCCATCGGTGCAGAAGAAGGGCGGTGAAGATGATGAGGAAGAAACAGATACCAAGCCTAAGAAGGCCGCAGGCAAGGCAAAGGCGACTCCAAAAGTGAAAGCCGAGGAAAAAGATGGCGCCGATGCATCCACACCAGCAACTCCGAGCAAGAAGCGTAAGCAACCTGCTGCAAAAGCTGTCAAGGAAGAAGATAGTGCGGCAACTACGCCGGCATCGAAGAAATCCAGGGCTACCAAAGCCAAAGCCGAACCTGAGGCGCCAAAGGTACCGTTAAGAAGGGGTCGATCCGCAGCGAAGAACTAAACTCTTTGCCTCTTGTCGGTTGCTTTTGCCTATGGAATACTTTTATTTTGCGATTGTCTACTGCGTTTATTTGTCGGCGATGTAGGAGTTTGCGGGCGGTAGTATAGGCCAATTCCCGGTTCTTGATCGGAAACGAAACGGCCTTGAGATACCAATTTCTTTGTTATGTTTTCTTTCTCTCTTTTCTCTTGGGCTTGTAAACAAGTCTTGTGCTAGATTTTTTACTATCGCTAGATAACCAGACAGAGTACGTGTAGGCTTGCTCATATATATCATCATTATGCTCGCTCATTCAATCATACCATCATGCCATGAAGCTTTCTATAAAGTACACCGTAGTTCCCATCCCCATCCTTCCCTTCTTCCAAATCATCCATGACAGCAAATATAATGCTCTCCCACCACCCACCGTCGAATTCACTCTCACTGAACACCTCAGCAAAACAATCCGCAACATCTTCACGCGGGTTCAAAAACGCCCCGCAGCCTAAGGCACCCAACACCAGCCTTCGATGGCCGTTATACGCCGCTGTGCGTAGAATCATACGTATCTTATCCTTGGTCAGGTCTCGGTCGGCAACTTTCCGGAAAACCTCCTTGATATGCACATCAGATGAGTTAGGAACGGGTATCTTCTTAGCCGCTAATTTGGGCTCGCATAGCGCCGCTATGCTAATGACGCTTACGACGGGCAGCTCTTCGGGTTTGTTGAGCGGTAATAGGCCATGACCGTCGTCCATACTCTTGCGTATGACGAGGACTGTGGGCGAGTATATAGCCTGTAGGTCCTCTAGAGGATAGTATCGTAGCTTAAGAGTGAAGCTGAGGCTGCTTCGATAGCAGAGTGTTTCTTCTTGCGCCAGGGCTCCGTTCTTCCAACCTCCTCCGGCGTGGAATGCGTTTGCCATGTTCAGCACACATACCGGCTTCTTGTCTCGCACAGTAACAAATTTTGAACAGTTTGCTAGGGCGATAGCAGTGTCCAGAGAGTCTGCGTTGTGTACCCGGATAGACGTCTTGGGGAAATGGGGACAGTACTTTGCATTTAGCCGTGAGATTTTGCTTGGAGAGTATAGATATCCGTTCGGTGGTGCCCAGGGAGCCATCTCTAGTATACCGGGCAAGAATGTACTCGTCTCTCCAGCGATGCAACGGAGGATCTTCCGTCTTTTCATGGCATCCTGAGCTGGTGATAGTACTGTCTGTGTTGCTTCTGATGCCGTTTGGGAAGGTGGCCAGTCGGTTGAGGCTATACTAGTCTGGCTATCGAGCCTGCTACTCTCGTCGTTATCCATCTCATAGTCCATGCCACTATCCGGGAGCAGGGTATCTCCAAGGCTGCTGGCCTCGTCAGGGTCCCTTCTTATGATCTGGGGGGTATCCTTTTTCAGTGAGCGGGAAGAGCCAAAGTTGAGCACTGTCTGGACCATCTTTGGCTTGGGCGAGGTCATCATGTTGTCCCTTCTACCGCTCTGCTTCTTCTCGTTGTCTTTTTCTACCTGCAGCCTTCCATGGTTATTGTTGTTGTGCCGCTTTCTAGATGCCTAGGCGCTGGCAGGCTGAAGCCTTGCCTGACTCCACAGCCACTTAAGAGTGCATTCGCGAGATCGACATTCACACAAGAAAGGCCGAATGGTGTAGTTGGTTATCACGTGTCGTTAACACCGACAAGGTCCTGAGATCGAGCCTCAGTTTGGTCACTTTCAATTTCTTTTTTTTATTTCTTTTTTTTTTCCCTGCTCTTAATTACTGAAGTCTCATCCCCTGTCATTTCTGTCAAATCCTTCCCGCGATTCAGTTTTTGTGCTACATAAGCGATATTAAGTTTAGCCGCATTCTGATTGGACAAAGCTTATTTAAACCTTTTGCTCTTTTCGCTCCGATAACGCATCTGATAAGAGATGCTTGCATAACTATTACAAAGCTCGTTTATGGCCTGATTTCACTTTACGTTCATATCGCAGTCCTGCACAGCTCCTTTCCTCTTCGTTTCTATATGAAACCACTATATTATACGCCTTTTATTGGAATATTTCTACGGGTCGAGAGTTCGGCGGGCTGAATAATTACCGGTGGCGGTTGTTCGGCCACCGCAAATGAGTCAAGATGAGCGCGATTCTGTCTGCGGATGATTTGAATGACTTCATATCGCCAGGAGTTGCTTGTATAAAGCCAGTTGAGACACTGCCGAAGAAGCAGGAAGAGGTGAGTCATCTGCAGTACACTTTCCAAGGTACACCCGGCTAACTTGAATATTCCCTGTAGAACCCATATGAAGTGACGACGGAAGATAAGCTGGAGGAGCAGAACCCCCCGCCAGCTCAGATATCTCTTACGGATTGTCTGGCATGTTCAGGCTGTGTCACATCAGCTGAAGCAGTGCTGGTGTCGTTACAGTCGCATGCGGAAGTGTTAAACACCCTTGACGCAAACCCCGAAATACGGCTCGATGGTGGGGGTAGAATAGAAGCCGGAGATGGGAAGATTTTCGTTGCCAGCGTGAGCCCGCAGGTCCGGGCCAGCTTGGCTGCTACCTATGGTATATCGGAAACGAATGCAGGATATATGATCGAACAATTTCTTAGTGGACCAAACGGCCTGCGGGCAGGCGGACAACATGGTAGTGGCTTTTCATGGGTTGTCGACACTAATATCATGCGCCAGGCTGTGTTGGAGCTCAGTACAGCTGAAGTCACCGAATCACTAAATGATGCCGCACCAACAACCTCACATGATGAATCCGACAAATTCTCTCTGCCTAACAGACCTATTCTCGCCTCATCTTGTCCAGGATGGATATGCTATGCGGAGAAAACTCATCCGCACGTTCTACCTCATCTATCACGCTTGAAGTCTCCTCAGGCCTTGACGGGAACTTTCCTCAAGACCATTATAAGCAAGAAGCTCAATATATCACCGTCTCAAGTATGGCATCTTGCGATAATGCCATGTTTCGACAAGAAGCTCGAGGCAAGCCGACAGGAATTAACGGATGTTTCTTGGAGAGGGGAGGCATTAGACACGGCCAGTTCCCCTGTCAGAGACGTCGACTGTGTCATTACCTCCAAGGAATTGCTTATGCTTGCTTCATCCCGAAACATCTCTCTTCCATCTTTACCCCTTGAACCACTACCAACACACCTCTCGACCCCGTTTCCCGACCAAACCATCGCCAAATTCCTTTCTACCAATAATACTCTACATTCCACACAACCTGCAGCTGCAGGACCATCAGGAGGATACCTCCATCATCTCCTTACAACCTACCAATCCAAACATGCCGATAGCATTATTCAATCCCAGAGAGGCCGCAACGCAGATGTAGTTGAATATACCCTCGTCTCAGCAACCGGCGAACCAATCATCAAAGCAGCGCGGTACTACGGGTTCAGAAACATCCAGAATCTAGTTCGCAAGTTGAAGCCGGCTAGAGCCTCGAGACTACCTGGCTCAAGAGTCAATGGTTCTGGAACCAGGGCACGACCTGCACCGGTATCTAATGGAAAGCCAGGTGCTCCTATACCCCCGACCGAGTTTGCTTATGTTGAAGTTATGGCTTGTCCGGGTGGATGTACGAATGGTGGAGGTCAGATTCGACTTGAAGATGCCAGACAGGCGAATTCTTCACTGGCTTTGCCTGAAGGCAGTGCTTTGGAGCCGACTTCAAAACCAACACCTCATGATCAACGGGCGTGGCTTGCTCGAGTTGACGAGGCGTATTATTCTGATTCCTCGGAGGACGGCGGCCAAGTGGATAAACCACATCGTATGTCTTCTGCTGAAGAGATACATTCCATACTGAGGTATTGGTCTGATATGATTGGCGTTCCTCTCGAGGATCTGGTATATACCACCTACCGTAAGGTGGAGAGTGATGTAGGGAAACAAAAAGGTCTTGCAGGAAGCATAGATACAGCTCGTGTTGCGGAGTTGGCTGGCAAGGCCGGTGGCGGTTGGTAAATGCATGCATACTATAATGAGTACGATCTAGCATATGGACAGTGTCATTTAAGCGCTGCGTCTGGTGATATCATACTTAGGCATTGGGTGGTTCAGGAGTTCTGATTAGACTGCATACCGCATGGTTTACCTCGAAAAAAATAGAATCGTTGCCTTAATTATTGGTCTATCTCTATTGTTGTTGGGCTAGAATCTTGAAAGAAAGGCGACTCCACCGTAAAACCAAACAAAGTGTATAAGGGAAAGTGACTTAAGAATAGTAGAAACAGGGGAGATAGGCTGGAAAGAAAGACAGGGTGCGCTTCTGCTTTTTATTCTTTTCTCTCGGGACTAGATACCTCGTAATTGCCTCCTCATGTAGGTATCAGACACTGCGAAGAAGATCATGGAGATCTCGGGCTGCTATCCCAGGATTCGTAGGAAAGGTCACTTGGACGGGCATAGTTATGGTAATAATGCGATGCCAACTCTGAAGGCACGCATCGACCCAGGGTCCGGGATTCATCCAAAGAAGAAGATTGAGGGCTCGACATCTCGAACGAGGGCCTGGATGAGTATCGATTGGAAGGGGTTAGAAGAGTTTGGACATGTCTTACGCTGTCGGTGGAACTATGTGGGCTTCCTGGAGATGGATGCTTCGGGAGCTGCAAGACAAGAGTAAGTATTCAATTATGTACTCTACCTCTTAAGCAATATTATAATACTCACGAAATCGAATTCAACCTGTTTTCCCGAAGGACTGCCACCTGGAGATGGGGCTCGTTGGCAAAGGCCTGTGCCATAATGGCGCTGCCAGGTACGGCGGTTATCAGCGTCCGTAGACTCATATCTTCCTTTTCTAGGGGGTCGTTCAAAGCGGTTCTTCCGCTCGCCAGAATCTTCGGACAAATCCGAGTCTTCAGAGCTAGAGAGATGATGGAGAGTGCCGATGGCATTGATAAGAGACTTTTCCTGCTGATCTTTGGGGTAGCTAGCACCATCTGCTATAGATGTGTAAGTATCGGGTTATACACTAGTAAGGGGCTACTCGGTGACATACCGAGAGATCTTGCATCTACTGAAGTTGGCACGGTAGATTTACTCTCGCAATCCGAGTTGGACCTTGAATCGGAAGCTGACTCGACGCCTTCTATCATGTGGCCCCTGAAATTATTCTTACTTCCATGCGGAGGGTCAGGACTTTCACCACCTCCATTTGCAACATGTGGACCAGGGCTTAGCATTCCATCATTCTCATCAGTGGACTCTTGCACGTTGTCAGAGCGAGAGCTGCTAGCTGGGTGGCTATTCAATTCCTCTTGCTTTTGTTTCAAGAATTCAAAGAGGAGTTGTTGCAGCTCGGCTGACTGCTTTGTATTCTGCTGTATCAGATGGGCTAGAGTAGAAAGTTCAGACTCCCCTGGACTGAATGTATTACTCTCATATCCAAATCGGCTGCTTCCACCAGAAGAAGAAGAAGAGTTAGGCTTCTTGTAGGTCTCTGCTGGAGCTGTGATTTGAGAAGAGGCAGCTCGTTTCCCCTGCTGTTGCTTCTGATATCCAAAGGGATTTGACTGCTGTAATAATCTGTCTGATGCAGGAGTGGTATCAATGTCCGCCATCGTCTTCCCCGGGAATAGGGGGGGTTTCTTCAAGTCAAACGCTCCATTCACGATCTCACTAAACGCGTTCTCCGGCGAAGCATCTGGAACCACCCGTGGAACCCGTCCCGGAGAGGCTGAAACGCTGTACCTATCGGCGGAGCGGTCGTGGAGCGATGCAGGCAATAATGCTGGCGTAGGCGGCGGATATTGGCTTTGCCCCCAGCCCGTCCACGTCTCGTTCTGCCGACGATTACGATACCTCGGAATGGCTCTAGGGTAAGACAGAACAGGCCGCATGAATACCTGTGGATTATTATACCGACGATAGCGAGGAAATGGGCCGTTCCAACCTGTCCGTGGCGTGCCATTCCTGTTTCTTGGATAATATGGGGGATATGCATATCCTGGACTGAAGTAGGGACCAGTCTGGTTCCTTGCGGGTGCACCATAAGGAGTGCCGGCCTGTCCGTAACTCATCGTGCTATGCTCTGCAGGTATATATCAGAAGGAATGACGGCGTTGAGAGAGTAAAAGATATAGAGAAAGTGACAGTGTGACGGCGCCCTAACAGATAGAGATAATACGCCCCGTCTTGCCTGAATATCCAGCGGCAGAGTCAGCAATGGAGAGACGGGCCTGGGACGCCGCAGTTATACTCGACGCTCTGCAGGCAAAGAGCAAGTCGAGCCCGCGGCCACAGTCTGGCATGGCGGGAGGAAGGGGCTGCCCGGGGGATATCTGAATGCTGCTGCAGGTCCGATGCATCCAGTCCATGACTTGCAGAGGGAGGCGAGCGGGACATGAGCTTAAGGCTCTGGATTTCTAGGATATGGCTTCACGGTTCCAAAAATGCAGCTCTGAAGCAAGGGCAAGAAATAAGAGCAAATTGACAAGCTAGAATTCAGGTGGCCACAGGAAAAACTAGCGAGTTAGTTATCCTAGGTAACTATGAGGCTGAAAAATCGCAGATAAAACTAGCGAGTTAACCAACATATCTTCTTCTCATCATACGCACCAGAAGCTCAAGCTCGACTGCCTAACGCAAAGGACTATGCTATTCCTTCATGCCGCAATCATATACTCCACCACTTTAGCTTGGGAATAACCGGAGAGCCACCACTCGGTTCAGCATCTCCATCTAGCTTCACGGATGCTGATCAATCCAGATCTACTTCTCCATCGTCTTGCCTTTCGCAGCAAAGATACCACCGTTAAGTTCAGCAATCATACCGAGCATCGTCTTCTAAATATTGTTGAGCGCTTGCTAGATGCTGAAAGCTCGTTAATCAAACAATCCGAGCCAATCACTTTGACCCCATAACCAGATGTAGCAGACACTTAATCACCGCTTCCTCTCGGGTTTTTAGTGGAGTAAAATTATTGAATAATGTGCTATTGTTGGCCTGCGTTATATTAGCGGGCATATTATTAAAACTATCAGTATAATAATTACTTACTTTGAAGCTAAGAAGGTTTGGAGATTTAAAAAAAATTTCCACTATCCCTTGTAGCCAGATAAAATTTCTCCCTCAGTTCCAGAGAGGAGATTACAGGCCATGGAATCAACGATTATGCCGTCTGGGTATAACGATGCTCGATGATACAATCTGAGATCATAGAATAAAAAATCATGTCCAATGTAACACTCCGAGCAAAAACTCGACCATAAAAGGAGAAGTATATACCGACGTAGCCCAGGAGTTTCGATAGACGGAGTTCGGCTGATCTATGATTCCTGCTTGGAGGGACGAATCCATGTATGAGCATATATGGACAGGAAGAGCAGATGTATATAAAAACAGGAGCCAAACAGGGCATGGGACTGGGAGCAGATAAGAGATGGGTTATAGTACCTATGATAAAAGGAGCGGTTGGGTATGATAGAAGGAATGACCACTAAGGTAAATGAGTGGGATGGGATATAGCAGTGTCTGAGCTGGAACCGAGGGTTGGAAGCGGTTTCCCTTGCTCAAATGCAATGTCTGAGGAGTCATCATACGGCATCGAAGGGCCTTTATAACCTATAAAAAATAAAATATATATATATATATATATTAGTTAGAATCCTTAAAGGCAATAAGAGATAACTCACAAGGTATGCTTAACATTCTGCAAAATTCTTCTCTTTCTTTCTCCGACATAGCTTTGACATAAGCAGTTAACGACTGAGAATCTAGCGTTTTTAAATACTCGTAGTCTATCTTTGAGTCAGGTTTCGAACTGGTTATATTGGTCGTGTTGGAAGTTGTAGTCGTGTCAGAGGAGCTCCTGGGAGGCGATACTACGTTCTGATCGCCGCCGACTCTGCTGATATAGAAGGGCTGGTTTGAGGCATAGCTGGGTATAATAAACGCGCTTCGAAGGGTACAGTAAGTTAGTGATATAGGAGTTGTGTGTTGAAGTGAGGGAGATGATGATCTGCCTAACACCAGTCAACTGACCACCGGCTATGGAAAAGGAGAAGAGAAGAGAATAACAAAGTCAGAAGAAGAAGGGAAGAAGCCAGACCATAGCGGATGTTTTAGTTAAACCCGATAGTTAGTTATTGAGTTAGTGATTATCTTCATGGACCCGGGCTTTTGCCACTATCTGACGTACACGTAACTAACTAGTTACCTAACGACAATCAGCTTGCCTTTGGTTTTTCAAGGAAGCACGTCAATAACCTGTTTGTTAGCCTGCCCTGTGATAAGAGCAGTGCATAGCGTTATACATCCCAACCTATATGTCCGACCTCCCAATTCAGCAGACAAACGTACCTTTGGTTGGCGATCAAGATGCTGAAAATTCATCGACAGCAGGGGACAAGGGCCTCAAGCTGATTGTCGTGGGCGACTCTATGACCCAGGGCCACGAAGGGGACTGGACCTGGCGATATCGCATTTGGCAGTGGTTTCGTGAACAGAATGTCACTATCACCTTTGTCGGACCCTACACTGGCACCGTCCAGCCAGACAGGCCCAAGCCGCCATCGCCTCCTCCCCTCTATGGCTCCCCTAAGCCTAGACAGGGTGTCAAGGTAGATGGGGGCTATGCGCGTGGTGTATCGGCGGATTTTGACAGCCATCACTTCGCCGTCTGGGGGCGAACCGCTGCGCTGGATAAAGATTTGATAGAGGATGTTTTGATGGCCCATCCGGCAGATTTGATGCTTTTGATGCTGGGATTCAATGACCTGGGATGGCTTCAAAGTGATGCCCTTGGAACGCTTAGAAGCATTAAAACATTGGTTGATAACGCTCGCAGGGTTAATCCCTTTCTCAAGCTTGCTATTGCCAATGTTCCTCAACGGCTGATGATCGGTGGGCGAGAAGATTTGCCCTGTTCCACTCGAGAATATAACAACCTGCTTCGCTGTGCTATACCACAGTGGAGTACGGCTGACTCTCCGATTCATCTTGTTGAGGTCTGTGAGGATTATGGCTGTGGCCCTGATGGATGTCCTGCAGGCTACGATGGCCTTCATCCAAATGCGACTGGAGAATATGAAATTGCACGCGCATTCTCACTCACCCTGGTTAGAGATTTCAATATTGGTTCAGCCCCGCTGGTAATACCCAAAAATGTACCGAAGCGGTCCTTGCCTCGCCCAAAGAATTTCAGAGTAGTCTCTAGCCCTGGGGGAGTCACCGCCTCCTGGGATGCAAGTACGTATCAGTCTCCTTTTTTTTCAGTATGGACTCACGGATGAACACCCCAATTAACTAGTTTTAGTATACGGTGCGATGAGCTACGATGTCCGGTCCAGGATCTCAGGAATCACAGAGTTTCACACCAGCAGTGTATCTTCGAATCGATGGGACTCTCAGTGGACACAGGAAGGATGGGTCTATGAGGTTCAAGTACGTGCAAGTGCAGGCAATGCACTAAAAGGCCGCTGGACGGCTATTAAATCGGCCAAATCAACACCCAAAACACCTCCTGGCCCCGATAATGTGATAGTTAATGCTACCACTACTGGATTCGATATCTCATGGGACTCTTGTCCTAGCGGCTTTAATGTCACGGAATATGAAATTCTGTACTGGGATAAAGATAAAAAACATACTTTCATCACTAGTGCAGGCTTCAAGGAATCTCCAGCTCATGTTGATGACCTTATCCCGGGGCATCATTATCAACTTGCCATCGTTTCCTGGAACGGTGCTGGCGGAGGATTTCCCAAGGGAGTCCGAAGTGTCACCGTCGGCCGAGGCACTCCGCCAATACCTACTGACTTGAAAATTACAGCTAAAGATGCAACCTCTGCTCACCTTACCTGGACTGGTTCTCCTGCTGCTGCTGGTTATCAGCTATGGTTCCGCAATGTGAATGAGCCGGATAGCGAGCTCTGCAGGGTCAATGGCACAGAGAGCAAACCCTCCAGTGACCAATATTTTCTGGTACCAGGTGTTTGGAACTTTGAGTGGTGTGTTAGTGCTTTCAATGGAAGTGCTGAATCTGACAGATGCGAATCTGTGCTTGCTCCACGGCCATCTGATGCTAGTATATCATCTAGCGACTGCTCCGAGGAGGATACCAACTCGCGTCATGAATCGGCCAAGGACAAAGATATCAATGGGAGTTTAACCCCTGAACATAAACATATGCCTTGTACCCCTACCACTCAGTGCGAAACGCCTCTCCAGGAAGAAGATCAGGGCTGGGGAGTTCTATGTGGCACTTGCGGCCATACTGAGCAAGATGACATTGACTGTCTCGGCTCTGGGGGTAGTAAACAACTCCATGGCGATAGGTGCTACAGAGATGAGTGTAAACACGCTGACTGTACTAATCCAGAGTGCTGGATATACGTCTGTGATAATTCTCACGCCGAAAAGGATGACACTGTAACTAAGTGCGATGAGTAAATATTATTAAAAAGATAGTAATGTACGAACCAGGTATATATGAATAGACATAGAAGAAGAGAGTACGGCTTTAAGAATAGTTTCTTCGTTGTTTCATGCTTGACTTGATAAGCCCTGCGAGAATGGCATCAGGGGGTGTGTATTTATCCACCCCTGTGCCTTTTTCCTAATTAGGAAGTATGGGGGGATACTTATCACGTGATTTATCTACTTGCTTATATAATCATCACCCTCTACTCTTTTTTCTTAGCAATAAAAAAAACGTCCTAACCAAACCAGCAAGCAAGCAGACAGGCAACTACAAGAACAGACATAACCGGAGATAGAACTCCTGACAAAACACATAGACGAACGACCTTTAGCACCTTAATAACCTACAAAATGTCCAGAGAAGCCTATCAGGTTCCCTCGCTCACGCAGCAGGGCCCAACATCCACAAGCACCGCCAGCGCAGCCACCGGCAGTGAGGTCCTATCAGTCGTCTACATCTGCGGAGATTGCAGCTCGCGCGTCTCGATGAAACGAAACGATCAAATCAGATGCAAGGAGTGTGGTCATCGAGTACTATACAAGGAGAGAACTAAGAGGTGAGCTGTTTGCGGTTTCGCAATTTTCTATATATAAGGGCTGTGGCTAACGTTGTTACTCTGGCAGAATGGTACAATTCCAAGCTCGATAGATTGTGTTTTACGGCGATTACTACGATTACTCTCCTTTATCAGTTTTGGCGCGCGGGGATATAGGTGTCATGGCCGGCATTAGCTGTGTGTTTTATTCTCATCTTCTTTGCATAAAATATGACAACATTACTTGGGAAAAGTCGACGGAATCTTCCTTGGACAACCACAGAGCCTTTCCCGCTGAAATGCTAAAATAATATTTTATGAAAGTTCTTGGCTTTTCATTTCTCTATTTTCATTGTTGTTCTAACCCGTGACTGACATTGTAGGTGAATTGGCTACCAAAGTGGTAGGACATTGCTCTATTCCTAGATGATATTTGAACCAAAGTACCTGGAGATATTCCAAGGTAGAAAAATATTAAAAATGAAGGACATATCCGAGAACATCAAGTGCAAGATTTAAATCCCAAAAGAAACAAAAAAATGGCAACAGCGGCTACCTGCCTTGTCTATGACAATGTTACCCTTCCCCTAGCTCAAAATGTGTTGGACACTTTGATAAACTGTTCGAAACATTTATATGCTTCGCCGCTCTCGATGGCCCAACGAGCACGTCTCAGGCCTTCTTTCCATCTGAGCCCACCTGGCCCACGTTCAGTGATCACTTTACCATCATCCCCAGGGCCCATGTTACTAGTGTCGGCTTCACAGACTCCCGAGATGGCCAGAAGTCCAGCAACATTCATCAATACAAAATGCAAGATGGGGTCGTCACGAGGTAACTCGTTTCGCAGGATGCTTATCAACTTGAGTGCATTCTCCTGAGGCCCTTTACCACCGCCGACTTCAGACAACGGGTGAGGAGGTAGCCCGAAGTCCGCGGCTTCGATGGAGAATTTCTCAATCTTGGTTGGCTTCAACACTTTCTCGTTGCCTTCTGCGTCGTATGCCTGCGTCGGGGTGACCGGAGTAGCCTCTGAGGGGTCACATTCAACAATTCTCCAGACATTGGTCTTGCCGGCACAACTGATCTCGTCTAGGTCTTCTTCTCCGCATACGACCATTGCCTTTGTCACGCCGCTTAGACGCAGAGCATCTGCGAATACGGGCCCGAGAGCCTGGTACGCTACGCCAACGACTCGAGCTTCAATGGCCCAGTCTACAGGGTTGGCCAGGGGTCCCATGAGGTTGAAAATTGTTCTCAAGCCAAGGCCTCTTCTGACGGGGTTTGCGTACATCATGCCCGGATGGAAGATAGGAGCAAACAGGAAGGCATAGTTTGTTTGTTCGAGGACTTTGGCTAGGTTTCCTGCGTTGACGGCTTCGATCTTCGGTGCAGTAGGGGTAACGTGCATAAGGACATCTGCGGACCCGGAGAAGGATGTCTGCGCCCTGTTGCCGTGCTTAGCTGTCATCAGGAAAGGCGATGCAACGATTGATGAGGTTGTGGAGATATTGAACGTCGAGTGGTGGTCGCCGCCAGTTCCAACAATATCGCACTATATTGACAGGTAAAAACCGTCAGCAACCAACCCATGAGCCGTCATTGATTGCTGGGTGTCTCAACTACGTACCAATCCGCCATTGTAGGAGCCTTCCTTTCGGCCTCGCTTCTCGAGTACTGCAAGCAACGGGCCCTTCTCCGTTGGTGTGGCAGCTTCTCTCATACGTTGAGAGCATTGGGCAATGACATCAGGGTCCTTATCTAGCCCCGTCGAGTGCAGTAGTGTGAGCAGTGCCGCAGTCTGTATCGCAGACAGCCTGTCCTCGAAGATGAGGGCAAAAGCAGCAGCTATCTCGCCAGCAGGCGCCTTGATGTGTTTGGCATCAGGATATGCCAAGCTCTTGAGCAACGGCGAGATTGAGACCTTCTCAGGCTCTGAACTGTGTGGTGCAGCCATAGCTCAAAAACCCGTCTCTGTGTCCGTCTGACTCTTTGTCAGTGATGCCTGGCGGTGTTGTTAGTAGAAGAGGAGGCAGATGCAGGACCAGCGACGCATCTTTCAGTCCAGCTGTCCTTGTCTCTATAAATAACTAGGCTCGCCAGCCATACAAGCTCCTCACTCCTCAACGTCTCTCCTCGTCTCGCTCGCTTTTCTCAATATTTAGTCCGCTCCCGCCAGAGGCTACAGCTCAGCTGACCCCTTCGCTTAGCTCGGTCGACCCAAACTCTAAGTTTTTACGTAATATCTTATATAATCATATAAAGGTAAGCTAACCTTGCTAAATAAAGCCACGCCAAGCTAATCAAAGTTATAAAAAACAACTTTGAAATAGTACCTTACTCCCCCCCCCCCCTAGCCTGTAGGTAAGAATATTACTTAAATAGCTACTAACTACTCTGTAATTACTTTCTAACTACTTTTTATAGCTTTTTCTTATTTACTTATCCCCTTATTTTAATAAAAATAGCTAAGAACTTTAGTAAGAATATAAGTCTTTTTAACTAATCCTTAACTAGTTATAAACTAGTTACTAACTAGTCTTAAAAATATTATAAGTATTACCTTACTAAAGAATCTAAATTACCTATATACGAAGTGGTATATAACTAGCTATAAATTAGTTATTAACTATTTTTAAATATAAAGATGGATAAATTGAATCAAATTTGATGGGTTAGAAATTTACTTATTATAGATATAGGTAAATTTATCTAGATAATGGATAAACTGAAAGTAATATAGATTTTATTTACTTATTTATATAAACTCTATTAAGAACTTTATTTAGGCTAAAAAAGAATAAATAATAAATGCTCTTAAATATAAAATTTACTTATATTACTGAGTACTTACTAAGTATTTACTAATTACTTATTAAATTTATATTACTAAATATAAAGACTAAATAATATATAATATTAAATTCTATTATATTTATAATTATTATTATTTATTAAAACTTTTATATAAAGGAGTATTTATATTATTAATTTAGTTTAATATATATTATTTAATAGTAGATATTTTTTAAATAAAACTTTATTATAAAGAAATATAGTAATATTTAAATAATTATAAAAATAAAAATATAATAAAATAGTAACTTATTAAATAATTGTTTATTATTATTATAATAATAGCTTCTAAAGTATTTAAAAATAATATATACTTCATTATTTTTAAACTATAAAATGTTAAAAAATATTTAATATATTTAATATTTTATTTATTATAACTTCTAATAAATAACTAAATAATAAAAGTATAC